ATTTCTCCTAACTATTTGATGTCTATTATAAAGCATGGTCATGTTTGAATATATTATAACATATTCAAACATTGTCTTGGTGGATAAATACTCTCTTTTTGTTGTTAGGGTCCTCCTGGTTTCAATGGCGTCCCAGGACCTACAGGCCCGCCTGGAGCTCCTGTAAGCGGTCTTATTCTGATTAGTTCTATGTCCTAACTCTTTTGCATTTACTGCAACAGTAAAGAATATAAAAGTCTTAACTAACCGTCCAAATAATCGTATAATTAAACCCCTTCTCTCAGGGTGTGGAGGGAATCCGTGGACGTCAGGGTTTGACAGGGTCCAAGGGTGATGATGTGAGTTTTGCACCTCACTTTAGATTCTGGATTGTGTTGAAAAACACCTCCCTAAAAACATGGATATTTCAGATGGATAACGGTGCTTTGATTTTCAATAGGGAGCTGTAGGAGGGCAGGGAGAGCAGGGACCTCAAGGGGAAAAAGGAGAAGTTGTAAGTATGCTGGCAAAGCTGTTGCTCGTTCATTCTTAACAACACCATTGTTTAGAACGTGAATAGGTCATAACTGTTTGATGTGTTCATTACAGGGAGAGCCTGGCAAAGATGGCTCAGACGGACTTCCTGGAGCTGATGGCGCCAAGGTAACTTCTGATTTTAAACAGCCAGAGGTGGCTTTAGCAAAATCCAAAAGCACATTGAACTGACTGACTGTTTTAGGGATTCATAATTTCATTTGTAACATTAGAGTTCTTATTTTAAGTCACTCAGAGCGTTGCTTTAATGTACAAAATTGAAGAAAATCATCAGTGATCAGTAAGATTTATAAATAAACATCTAACATGTCCAAAGATCAAAACATGTTTTTTATTCTATTACCCTTGGTAGGCTCAGTGCACTCATACAGGCACACTGCCTGTTTCAGTCTGGTACACAGATTGTATCAATGGATAATGCAGCTCCACTTCCTTCCTCTATCCAGAAATTGATCTAAAATAGCCCGGATATAAACGCTGCCATCTTGTGCATTTGGAGCCAGAGTCTGTGCAGCAGTGATCAGGGGATGGACCCGCAGTTAGTGAGGCCCCGTCGATATGCTATTGACCAATCATGAGTCAGTCTCAGCTGTTAATCACTCTGTTTTCATAGCATCAATCAACTCAATAAAACCAGATGTATCAGACAAATGATAACTTGAACAAACATTGGTGTGATTAGAACTTCCTCAAATGGCACCAGCCATCTTTGAGAAAATAGTTTTTGACGTGTAATTTGCCTTTTAGTTTGGTCAATGTCCCGTCCACTAACACGAAGAAGTTGGGATATATAAACTATCCTGCAGCCAGCCATCAGGTGGCGATGAAGACACTTTGGCTTCCATTTTGGGGAGCGGGTCATGTTGTCCATCTTTGTACAGTCTATGGTCTGGTATGACGAGTAGCATTTGGTGGATAATGCGAAAGCGAGCTAACTTTGGAAAGGTTCTGCTGTGTCAGTTGCTGCTGATGTTTTGATCCATTCATATACTTCTGCACATCACAGTTACATTTACAATCATCCCATATGTACAGCTTGAAGCTACAATGTCGGATTTTCACACACACACACACACACACAC